CTTTTTATGCTAAACCACTATGGCCTGAAACCTCCTTTACAGCCTCCTCTTCCATTTCCACAAGTTTACGGCAGAATGCTTCAACGTCACGTGCCTCTTCCTTCAATGACAGTCTAAATTCCTTCCACTCGAACTGGCCAAATCCATCCTTAAACCCAGGACTCGGAACCTTGCTCAACACCTCAAACCCCTTGCGGTCGATAGACAGCATGTATGCATCCTTCCATGACAACATGTATACAAATGAGTTAATATGTTTCTGATCCTACCCTTGATCTTGTCAAAGAATTAGAAGTTAATAAAAGATTGTCTACCTTTGCATTTGCATTCAAGTATGAACAGCAGAAAAGCATAGCGCTCTACGTCTTGCTGCACTTTGATTTATCCCATCAATGAGTTTGGCAGACAAAGGAGCTACATCAAAATTTTATACGTGTGAGTAAACTGACAAAAGTCGTATTTTCTCAAGCTATAGGAAACCTTTAAAAGCACTTTCAAATAGGTTCTACCTAACAAATCTGCTTTAGACGCAGCCATATCTTCTGTATCAATCTTATGAGTGTCTCCACTGCCATCAACATACATACACGATCTGGACAATAAATATTTTGAGTCAGAGGTCGTTGGTGTTGAAACTTTCAGGTCTCACAGTCTACGTCAAGCATAACATATCTCTCGTTCGAAGAGAGTACGGAAATATATTCAAAGAACTACATGAATGATGGAACGTATAGCCATAGTTGTATTAATGGAATGATGGGACCTATAGCCATAGTTGTATTAATGGAATGCAGCGTAATGCTCTATATGTTGTCCTCTTAAAGATTGAAATTATTGAAACTAGCTAGGAGGTTTTCATATTATCAGGTTGGATAGACGGGGACGACACGAAAAGTTTATTTGGTAATTCAGTTTATAAACAGATGGACCTGCTCCAATACTTGCTATGAAAATTGTCCAAATTCTAACCTGACCCTAGGATAATCACAATCAGACATACTGATGAAAACACTGGATTCAGTTACCAACAAAATTTAGACAAAGATTTCAATTAAATTCCAGAAGGCAAGGTTCTTGCCTTTGATTGAACTTGTAAACTATGTAGTTTTCATCGCCTTCCAAGAGCTCCTTAAGGCTTTCGCTTCGTGATGTACAGCTATGATCAGAAGAACTTAATATACCTGAAACTGTATAACTGGACTCACTCACTGCTTTCTGTCTGACCGTATGACTTCTCTAAGGACTTTTGTTGCAGATTGAACCTATAACAAGAATAATAACATTTTATTAAAAGAAAACACTGTAACCATAATCCTGAAGCAATTTCAGAGCTCAAATTTCCCGTTATTGCTTATTACTAATGAGGTCAGAAGTTTTAACCTAAGCAGGATTAGGTGTAATTCAATCACATATTCGCAACCAACTTAAGCTGATGAAAATCATCAATGAAGGTTAATATTTCCAATGTCCTGCTCCTTCAAAACCTGATGAATATCATCAGTGAATGAGGAGTTAATATTCTCAATGCCCCGTTCCTCCTTTGTTTTGATTTTCCCTTATCCAGTGGATTATTTCAGGAACCGGCCTAAAATAACCATGTTAGAGGTGGGACGATACCTAGTGTGATTTAAGGCATAGTTAGTTAAGAATGTGTTGAAATTTTTTTTTTTTTTTTTTTTTTTTTTAAAATAAAGGTCAACGGTTGTAGAATCATAGAATCGAACAAAGCAGTAAAGTAAACCTACACTTATAAAAAGAAAAGACACGGTTTCGTGACAAAGAACATGGATCCCATGAGTTGGAAATCAAATCTATTCAAGTTCAGAATGCTCAGAAAAGTAAAGTAGGGGTAGAATAAGATTACCTTTTCCTCAGTTAGAGGCACAACTTCGCCAGTCAGGGCAATTCGAGGCGGTGTCTGCAAATTTAGAACAATCAACTATTAGATTTATATGCACAAAGGAAATACTTTCTCAAATACACGTACCTTATGCAGCATCACATCAATATTATTCCAAATATTCACATGCTTTATGGAAGAAAAATCTTTTGACAAATCTTGGGGTAGAAAAAACTGTCTGTAAAGTAGTTATAACTGGGAAAAGAGGGAAGGGTGTCACATAACTCAAAATTGAATACCTTTCTTAATGATCTAAGTAAGCTTGCCAGTGGACCTGGGATGGGATTGGTGACAGCAAATGAACAGCGCTCATCAACAACTACATTCTGCAAGAGAAGGAAAAGAAAATGAGGATAACAGCTTTAATGACTAAAGCTTCGTCCCCATGCACAAGGTGCCTGCTACCAGACAATAAAATTATTCCTCTTTTTCGGAGGACATGTGTACTTGATCAAGAGAAATCTCAAACACACACTATAGAGAAAATACAGCCAACCAGCAGGCAAATAAAGTGAAAACTTAATGACTTGACTTCATGTCCGAAAGTAAAAATCATCAGTCTAAACACTATGATATGAGCTTACCACATTATGCAACTCCTTTTCGGGCACCCAAAGGTATGGCTTCCCTCTTTTGCAGATGTACTTAACCTTTGATGTGTATATGTCCTCCTTGCTAACACAACCATACATAGCAAACAACAAGAAATCCCATTAGTTAATGGATGAAAGTAGCAGTCTTTGCTGCTGCTTTAAACATTTAACGGTTACTAACTAAAGCCCACAACAAGATGAACAGACACTAAACTTGGGAACTCATATCATTTTACTTATGTAAAACGAAATCAGAAACTCAACTCAATTCCAAACTACTATACGAGATTATGAAGTGAAAGATAACCTACACGGGGTTGACCTAATCAGTCGGGTTTTCAATGTGATTTCTTTTCAATAATACAATCCTTTCGGTTACATCTTTGATCAGCTAAATTTTTAACATGACCACCCAACATATAGTATTATACTCAGTTGAGTGAAGGCCTTTTGCAATCGAAACCAATGTAAAAAGCCCGATTCTTTAAGTCTTGTACCCACTAAGCATAGCTAAAAAGGAAGAGTTTTGACGAAATAGGTTACCTTCCTTTAGCATCAGCTTTGATGGTATTGAGTTGCCCTTGCCAGTTGGAAGACAGTATACTCTGCAATTGTTTGAGGTCATGAGACTCTTGTAGCAACAAAACCATGAAAAATAAAATGAATTGAGAAAACTGAGGGGATATGAATACCTTGCATTTCTCGGCAAATGTTAAGACGGTTGCCTTGTTGGCCTTCATGGGTTCCGCAGTATTGCACCCCAAGTGCTCGACGAAATTACTCAGGGAAAGAAAGTGTTCGCGCGAGAGAGCGAGAAAGAAAGGAGGTGAGCTCTGGTCAGGGTTTTAGGGTGGGTTTTGGAATTGAACGGATTCGTCAAAATAATTTGAGATTTGTATTCCGTCTTTTGTTTGTGGGTCCAATATATATGAAATTGTACAATTATGGGATAATAAAAAAAAATACTACCACATGCTTTGGTGAATCCGGATCCTTTTTGTGAGGTCACGGAGATCCATAAATAGTATCAGGTCATTATACATCATGCGGTTATAAATTATTTTAAATATTTTTATTTAAAATTAAATACAAATAGTTACTAATCTCCAGGATCCTCACCAAAACGACCAGAAGAATATCCTGTTGGTGCTTTGGTATTGTTAGCGCAGGGTTTAGACCCTCAAAATAGTACAAGTACAAAAAAAGATCGCGGAAAGCCCAAGAAAGGTCAAGGCACAAAGAAGGAATGGAAGTCCAAGGAATTAGAAAGGGGCATTTTGGAGCGTTATAGTCAACTGTTCACTAGTTTTGTTTGACTAACATAAAGCACTTCCCAAACGTCAAAGCACGTGGGCAGACTGACAACTTTATTGCACAAGACTCTAGGATCAGGCATACTTAGACACCAACCCAGGCGATGTGTTAGTCACCAGTAAAACCAAAAGCCTAGGATGGGACATAAAAGGATACCAGGCCTTGATCCGAATGAACACTATTGACTAGTCAAGGCCGAGCCTCGTGCTTGGTACGCGTTGGCCCATAAAACATGTAATTGAGTTAAAAGACTGTCACTTCACTACCAAATGTCAACTGATGAACGAAAGGATAGTCAGCACAGCAGTCTACGCTGGTAGCCCATTTAATGCTAAAATAATAAAGTGGATGAGCCTGGGACTTCTTGGGCTCATTGAGGACATATATAAGGGGGTAAGTACCTCTTATAGCAGGTCAGACAATTGAGAGACAAGAGAACTTAGCCTATAACCAAGTGCTTCTTATAATCTTGAATCAATATATTCCGAAAGTTATAATTGATGCAGCCCAGTTTTGAGGGGTGAATCAGTTAAATCTTGAGTTCATTATTTCATATCTTTAAACCCGAGCCCATGAAGGATTAATTATTTAGTTTTTTTTTTTTTAACAAATGATAAATTATCTACATTAAGGGAGTGAGTTAAGCCTCACAATGGGCTAACAATAATTTGGTTCAAATTTTTTTTTGGTAAGAATCGAACCTAAGAGTGGAGTCAGAAATTATTATAAATTTTTTATTTAAAATTGAATATAAATAGTACCTGACGAAAACTGATCGCACGATTTATGATGAATGGATTGTGAGAATCGAATCTAAGAGTAGAGTCATAAATTATAGTAAATTTTTTATTTAAAATTGAATATAAATAGTATTTGATGAAAACTGACCGCACGATATACGATGAACGGATGTGATCGAGAATCCGGCGAGGATACTCTCTCGATAAACACAATCTCTTTTAATATTTTAATTTTATCAGTTAGTCTTTCCATTACGAAGGAGTAATTAGATTGATGATTAAATTTCAGCAATTTAAGGGTGAATCTAATAGTTAATCTCCTACTAAATAAACCAGTATATTTTAAGTTTATATATAATCGTTTTTTTTTTTTTGTAAAGTTAAAATTGATGATGTATTCCACTTTCAAAAAAGAAAAGAAAATCATGATATTTGGGCGCCCTTTATTATTTTCCGCGAAAAAAAAAAGAAAGAAAAAAACAGTTGTCTGAAGTTCGAAGATGAGTAGATGACGACATCCGAAAACGCTTTAGAAACGGACTCAACGTATCTCAGCCGTCGACTTCGTACGCCGTGCACCTCCGCAGTTAAAAGCCAAAAGCTGGTTAGAGAAACCCAAGCAATCAGTAGGATCTCCGATCTCCAACTGCCCCATCTCCGTCCAATAAAATCGGGCCATGGCTTCGGAGATTTTCGAGCGTGACCGGCACGTGACGTTTCTTCAGATGGAGTACCAGCTGCTGCCGTCCCCCTACCAGTCCCAGGAAATCAACAGCCTCACTCTAGCTTACTTTGTCATCTCCGGCCTCGACCTCCTCGCCGCCCCCGATCGCCTCGTACGTCGTCGTTAGTCAATTTTCGTTGTTGAAATTCAAATTTGAAATAAATGATATAGAAAGTTGCAATCTTTGATTTGGTAGGTTGACAAGGAAGCAGTTGCCAAGTGGGTTCTGTCGTTGCAAGCTCACCCGAGAAGCCAGTCCGAATTGGACAACGGTAGATGGGGCGATTTGTATTTTTGAGTTCGAATTCGATAGAATTGAATCGAATCGAATTGAATTGCTTTCATTTAAGTGTGAATTCTAGTTTAAATTAATAAAAAAAAATTGATCTTTTGATTTGTTGTAGGACAATTCTATGGATTTTATGGTTCCAGATCTGCACAATTTCCTTCAGAGGATAAAGACAATGGGGTATGAAACTATGAACTAGTTTATGTATTGTTTAAGCTTTCTTTCGGGTTTTAACCAGTTCGCGTAGTTTAAGCAAATTCTTAGTATAAGAGCATTGAATGATATACTTTTTTCGTGTTTCCGGTTTGTAATTATTTAGTTTGATTTTGATGTAGGCTTTATTAAGTTGCAGTGTCAGTAACTTGGCCAGCACGTATTGTGCTGTGGCGATACTTAAAATCATCGGCTATGACTTGTCCAGTATTGATTCTGAGTCGATACTAACGTCAATGAGAAACCTTCAACAGCCTGATGGGAGGTATTGTGGTTTACAGGAAAGCTTATAGCCATTTCTTAGGGGATGTTATGAGGTAGCTGGACCAATTTCCTGATATTTTCGACTGATTTTGGCAGTTTTATGCCTATACATACAGGGGCCGAGACTGATCTCCGATTCATTTATTGTGCTGGTAAGACGGTAAAAGCTTTTATGGAGTTACTTTTTAAGCCGTTTAATTCAATATACTTGACAATGTAGCATCAATTTAGCTGATTGATGTACCAGTGGCCATTTGTCATATGATGGGAAATTGGAGTGGCATGGACAAGGAGAAAGCCAAGGCGTACATAATAAATTGCCAGGTCTGTATGACAAATGCAGTCATCCTCTTGGAATTATATCTTCCATTTAATCAGTAAATTTCCAAATTCTTGATATATTTTAGAGATATACTTATAGAGAAGTGACTTCTTCTTTCAGTCATACGATGGAGGCTTTGGGTTGACTCCAGGTTCAGAATCTCATGGTGAGTGTTTTTCAGTCAATGTGCTCCATTTTGTAAGAATGTGTTAGTTGTACTTATCTAACAATTATGAATGTCCCCATTTTTTTTATTTCCTTACCAGTTGCTTTCTTGTTAATATTTTACTCGATTGTTGTTATTTTGTATTTACTAGAGGAAAACAGCATAATTTCTGCTTAGACTAGCTCATGATGTAAATCCAAAAAGTTTGAAAATTTATTTTCCTCCAATGATGCAATATTCATTTTAGCGACACAGGCGGTGCAACATATTGTGGTGTTACATCTCTCCGGTTAATGGGATTCATTGAAGAAGATATTCTTTCTAAAGATGCAGAGTCTTCCATAATAAATGTGCCATTGCTGCTGGATTGGTGCTTGCAGGTTTATCTCCTCACCTAATCTCTTCAAGCGTTACCAGTTTTCCCCTTGAGTTGTAAGCTTTTAACACTCATGCAAGTAAACACTTGATGGGCATGTGGGCATTAAAAGCCTTAAAATCTGCCAAATAAGTAGATGCATCTGAAACTGAAACAATGGTCCCTGCCTTTGCCTTCTGATAAGCAATTTTATGTTCTCATCCCATAGGAAAGATTTTTCTTGTTCAGTCGTTTTTTTGTACCACTGCAGAGACAGGCAGCTGATGGTGGATTTCAGGGTAGACCCAACAAGCCTAGTGATACATGTTATGCCTTTTGGTAGGTGGATGAACATCCTTTGGGAGTTTCATGCCGTGTTTGGAATTTCGTACCCTGACAACAGAAATTTGCTTGTGCAGGATTGGATCAGTTTTGAAGGTTTTAGGGGGCCACAAATTCATTGACAAGAAGGCTCTACATGGATTTTTGCTAACTTGTCAATCCGAGGTGCTTTTGCTTATCTTTCCTCATACTAACCTATGATACGATAGGGGAGAATGTAAAGTTTCTTTCAGATTTGTCATGGAAAATCTGTTATTACTTCGGTCATGCATACACATTTACAAATTTATTGGATTAACCTCCATAAACATAGAAAGATCCTAAGGCGATGATGATAGAAACTAGAAACACAAATGGATATAAGTTCCTGTTCTTACGAAAAATAACAGACCAATACAATGCAGACGGTATAAATTGTTTTGTGTGCTTGATTTTTTTGGCAACAGTATCTTTTGTAAACATGAGGAATGTCGTAATTAGGCTACTCGTATGATATTATGGAAGTACCCCAATTTCTGTCTCAAACCTTTTTCTAAGCTGATAGTATTGCTTATGACTCCCGACTTTGATGTTCGTATTTGTGTTTTCACCAGTACGGTGGTTTCAGCAAGTTCCCGGGGGACTTTCCAGATCTATATCACTCCTATTACGGGTTTACCGCATTCAGCCTCTTGGAAGAACCCGGCCTGAAACCACTCTGTGTTGAGCTGGGAATGTCTGCTATTGCTGCCATTGGAATCTGACCTGATATTTCTTCATATACGTTGGCTTTCTAGTTTATTTTTTGGTGCTTTTCCATGTATTCAATCGTGTTCTTCATAAATAAAAATAAAATTTACCCCTTCCTTTTACTGCAAGTTATATAGAAGTAGAGGTAAATTACTTGGCCACATGCAGTGGGCGGTAAATATTTTTTGGAAGTGACTTGATATTTAGCATGTGATAGCATTTCCATCAATCATCATCACACGTTTTTAAGTTTCCATCAAGTGCTCATGTTTCAAATTTGTACAGAGTCTTTATGATCATTATGGTTGAACAGTAAAGTTGTGAAATCAAAATTCACTCCTTTTCTCTCGATTCTTCTTTGATTTATTTTATTTGAATACCAAAGAAAAATAGATTAGTACATGAGAAAAAATAAGAGTAAAAGATTTTCCTATATAAAGAAAGTTAAAATCATAGAAGGGTGATGACGGAGAGATAGACACAATAAAATATAAAATTGGTTACAACTTTTGGGCTTTGATACCAAATTGACGGACCCCAAATTGGTTATCCACGTGGATCTCAAAAATTGAGGCATGTCGGCTGACATCCAAAAGGTGACGAAACTATAAGGTGAAAGTTATGTATGAAAAGTAAGAATAAATTTAAAACCAAAGTCTAAGGTAAATTAAAGTAAGCGCACGCAGTGTGGGGAGATAAAGATTGTAGCAATGAATTGAGATTATGATTGGTCTAAGATTTGATTCTCTATAGAGTATGTTTACTAATGGAAATGAGAGAATGAACGAATTAGACGACTTCGAAATAGAAAAAGTAAGATGAAATTCATGCTTTTTCGATTTTTATATGTTAGTGTTTATAAAGAAAAGTTTAGAAGTGAAGTAATTTTTCAACTTGTATTTTAGGAAACGCACGAAACTCAAGAACGAAAACCTCTTAATTCTTTGTAAGTAAACATGTAACAAAAAGAACATACGGATTGTTTTCTTAATATACATTGAAGGTCATGATTTGAGCCACGAATCTGTCACTGTCAGAACAGAAGATTACAAAGGGATAGTAAAAAAGTAAGAGCCTACATGATTCTTCAAGGTGGAGGTGGATGGATAGTTGCACCTTTCGGCAAATTCCCATAAACCACTTTCACGGGGCAATTTGCTCCTCTATGTTGTTTGGGAAAATGCCCAAAGGCCAAAGGCATCACCTAAACTCTTCCCTTTCCCTTTTCCTACTTTGTCTTGTAATGCAGGTGGTTCATGCTTTCTTAATGTCATGTCACTAAGTCACTTGTAGTAAGATATTGAATTGCACCTAGATATTGAGATTTTACCAAAACAAGTGGCATAAACATGCCGGAGAACAATGGCATGGCAACAATGATTGTTTACGAGGAGATAATGACTTTCATGAAACGGGATGTTACTGTAATAAGAAAGGACTTGTCTGTGCTCTTCAAAGTGTTATTGCAGTGTTTTGGGCAAAAAAATAATATCATGTGTTTTAGTTCTCGCATATTCATTGTAATATTGGTTCATAAGACCAAAATAGTACCCTAGAGGTGCAAGTAAGTTTTTCTCCATTGTGGTGGTATCATTGCCAAGTCCCTCTCTATATTGTGATGGTATTTGCAATCACGCGATGCATAATGTTTGGTGGTTTGAAATACCAATACAGTGACTTAGTGTGAGTTTCTATGAGAGAGAGAGAGAGAGAGAGAGAGAGGACAAGAACATCAGTTGTGTAGCAGCATCATCACACTCACAAGAAGATTACAGGTACGAGACAACTCAGGGGAACATGAAGGCTAAATAAAACAAAGCAACTTCACAGTCACGGGGTCCCCCACTAACAGGAAAACCCATCTCACACCATCATGTTCCTGAATATATTCCCCCCCCCCCACCCCACTAGAACTCATTACATTCCACATGAACCTCTATTACTAATCAAATTTAACAAACTTACCCACAAATAATAATTTTTTTTTAAAAAAAAGCAAAAATTTTGGTTCATCGAACTCTAATGTAAATTGGGTTTCTTCCCAATTGTTGATCTGAATCCTGAAGGTGAAGAAACTAACGGAAGAACCTGTGAAGTGCTTGACGAATGGCACTTTTCTTTGTTCTTGTCAACAATGATTGTGATGAAAGAACCATCTTCCTCAGCATTTCCATCAATATTCTGAACTTTTTCCTGCAATTTTACTCTAAGTTTCTCCTCAGCAACCTGCAAGAACTTGAATTTTGGAGGAGGAGAGGACCTCAATCTGTTGAATTCTGCATCAGATTTTGACTCAAAGAGTGGGCTGAAACCCTGCTGGGGAGTGAGAGGAGGTGTGAAAAGTGTTGGAGAACCAAGAGGTGTCAGATATGGAGTCTCAAATCCCACAAGCAAATCACTCAGACTCTTACTCCTAGAACCCTTCTGGCTCCTCCACCCACCATCCTCTGACTGTTGCTCCAAATCCTCCTTTGTTTCCTCCACAATTGTGAACAGGTGCCTTGGTGGGCCCCCACCAGCATTCTGCAGCCTCATGAGCTCAGCATCCAAATCTTCCTCCTCAAATGATTTGAGCACCAGATTGTTGCTGCTTGGTTCATGGACTAGGGTTTCTGACATTCTCAATGAAGCACAGATACCTGTGGGGTTTCGGGAGGGAGTGCAAGTGCTTCTTCTCCAGCAGAACATGTAGAAGATTTCCTTCTGTGGGCTGCTGCTGTAGCCACTGTCAATCTCTCTGCTGGTAAATCTCTTCTTCCACCACAGTAAATAGTAAAGCTCTGCAATCAGAGCTAAGAAAAGGCAGCCAAAAACCACACTTAACCCAAGTCCCACACTGCTCAAAGATTTCATCTCTGTCATCAAATCTCATCAGAAAGCTACTGATTTCACATCAAAACTACCCAAAAAAAAAACTCAAACTAACCACAGTTAATTTTGGGCATTACCCTTTTACCCAATTCACAAGAAGCCCAAGAAACTGAAGGGAAAGGTTAATCTTCTGGGAAGATTTTGTAAAGTTCCAATCTTTTCCATGAACACAGGAGAAACCCAAAAACCCAGATAGTGGGAACTCAGTAACTAAACACTCCTTAACTTGCTCGCTACTTTAGGGGCAAATGAAAATACCCAAATGCCCACCAGCTAAAAATATCTCTCAAAGGCTGTATCTTCTGAGAAAATCACCCTTTAAATCATGAAACGTGATGACAAAAGCGCTTTTGAAACCCACCAATACTAAAAGCCCACCCGGATGTGGAAATCACAGAGAATTGGCAAATCGCAGAGGACTAAAACAAAGAAATGAACAAACAAAAAACAGGGAAGCCATGCAAAAATGCAGAGTAAGAGAGTCGGCAAATAGGCAAATATGGGTGAGAGGAGAGGAGAGGAGAGGAGAGGCGAGGCGTTGTTCGAGGGAAAGTTCACATGTGAACACAAAGACAAGGAAAGTGACGGGTCGTTTTTGATGAGATGCTAAATTGGCTTTTGTCTAATCCATTCACCCAACTCAGCTCACAGGAAAAGGAGTTGAGTTGCTTTTCTGCGCCTTGAATTTGTAGAGGGATTTGGCTCTTTGACTCTTGACTCTTTGACTCCAAGTCCCAGTGGTGGAAACTGCGTCGTTTTTGTCATTAAATCATAGCTTGGTTGACGGTTCTGGGATTAGCAGAGCTTGCAGAGGCTAATCTTCTGGCAAACGCATATTCCCTTTCCCTTTTATTAAGCAAATAAGTTATGCTCGAAGTCCAACTCCATGTGTTGTAGGAAAAGAAGTATCCTCGTGTCATTATATTATTAAATTATTACATAATGTTTAATTTCGTTTCACGTAATGTAAATTGTTCTTACGTCAAACAATATTAACATATAGTTTTAATTCAACTAAATTATATTGTATTTATCTTCAACTGTTACTGACACTAAAAAAATCTTGTTTTGCAGTCGTTCACACTTGTTATTTATAATTTGTAATTTACAAACAAAAAAACAGCATGTGATCTTTTTAGAGTTCTAATCATAATTATTTTATTTAATATAATAAGTAAATACTCAATACTTTCAGTATCTTAACTGATGATCATTAGATAATAAGATAATGCTTGCCGAGGTTTGTCATGCTGAATCAGAATAATAAGCAACAATTCGATTTAAGTTTGTTGTTCGAGTTTGTAGTCTCTTTCATAAATTTTAAATTTGTTTTCAGTTGATGGTGCTTGGTTTAACTAAGCATATGGTCAGTGTCAAATCTGTATTGACCTTTTAATCCGAACCTATTGATATACCCATCCTAGGTTATCAACGAAATCTCAAATGTAAAAACTAAATCAATCAATCAATCAATAATATTTTTTTGAAAGTTGGGACCTAAGGACCGAGGTAAAATAAAGAGAAATGTTAAGGAAACTCCCTTAAAGTTAGATTTTTTATAGCTTTTTGTCACCTCATAGCGCTAATTTTTCTATCAACATTATAAAATATTGTGCTAAAAACATAAGATAGCAAAAAGTATAACTTTTTGCCACCTTAAAGTTTAACGTCAATTTTTCTGTCAACATCATAAAATATTATGTTAAAAACATAAAATAGCAGAAAATCTATAAAAATTGGAGAGTTCTAGTTTTGAAATTTTGAAAAAAGTCACATTGGCATTTCTCTAACTATGCATGTTACCAACCATTATTGTCAGTAGTTTATTTATTTATTTATTTATTTTCACAAGTAGACACATGATTTTCAGTATTTAATGGAGGTAAAAATACTCATAAATATATGGCACCCTAGAGAAGTTGGAATTTTACCGGGACTGGCTTTCAACTGTACTTTTTGTTTTGGGTTGGATCTCCAAATTACAGGCCCATTTGTTTTTGTGGCAACCTATGAAGCCCAAAACAAAGCCCAATAACCCCTTTTCATGGCCCCAATCACAAGGTAAATACATTAATAATTGGAAGACAATCCTCACCATCATATCCAATAGTTAGATTGCATAACTACAATGTCCTTACAAATTATTGGCTGCTAAGGCCTCAGAAGAACTTGGATTGTGGTGTCACAACCACCATATCTTATATTTTGTTTTTATTTGACTATACACTGTGCTCAAATAATTTTACTAAAATTTATCGGCTCTCTACGTTACCGGACTCTAAATCAGGCAAACACCGAACTACGAGGGATGAGAGTGTGGCGTCGGCACGGCAAATCGGGCAACTTGAATGAGAAAACAGCCACATGTCAATGCATGAAACGTGAAATGAGTGCATGCATTCCGGCAAGGTACGAAACTCTTCACCTTCTTCAAAATCACTTATGCACACAGCACACATACCGTCTCCCACCAAGACCAAGCCAACGTCCCTTTGATACTTCCTGGACGGAATGAGTTCGGATGCCGATGAAGGCCCCATGCTGCCATCTGTGAGCCCCGTGGTTTCGGGCCTCAAACGGCGTCGTGTTTGTCGTGGTTGGGGGTTGCGGTTGCAGCAACAAATGACTGCGCAATGGTAGAGTGTGACAACAAGCACAGCCGAGCTCAGAGCAACTAGAAGAATGTATAATCTGGGATCAGAGACAAGGTTATGGCTTTCAGCCATGGTGGAAAGTCGGCTGAAATGCCAAGGAATTTAAATGGACATTGAAATTATATGTAGAAAAGGCGATTATATCAAGGTTTGCACTTGTCTTATGTGCCTTCACAGACAAATGAGAAGATGGAAAGGGCTGAAGCTCTGAGTCGACCTCTTTTTTTATTTTGGAACACTAAGCGGCCTTTTTGGAGCACAAAAAATTGTTGGTCCTAAATTTTTTCCTAACTTATTTATATAAGTATTTTTTAGTTTTATACCAATAACATTGTGAGAACTCGGACATCATGTGTAAAGGTAAATGTTCTTAACGAATTAAACTTGAAATAAAATTAGTGTACCAATGTCGTGAAAGTAATGTTAATGGAGGCAGCCGTAGCTAGCACAATTAATTTATTGGGTTATTTGGTTCAGTTGTAGCACAAATGTGATAAAGCAAAATGGACTTCTTATGCATTAAACCATCTCCTACTTACGTGATAGCCATGCAAGGCTCTTATAATGACACACCAGAATCCACAAATGATCATACGGTGACTAATAAGATATGGACAATGTTAACGAGATTATCTATTTGAAGTATATTTTTTAAATTACGTAACATGGCTGTTGATGGATCTATGTTGCAAGAAATCATCAACTGCCACATCATATGATCTACAAAATCCAGTATAATTAAAACCATAATCTTCCTGGCATTTTCCCTAAGATATACATAAATACTGCTTATCTTGTTTCAGCCACTGATTATGGACCACCTAATGAAAGATTTTGTGTACTATAAGTGGTCAAGGTACTCTTAGGAATTAATTACGGTTCAACTACCATTGTCTCGTATTGAAGACGTGATTGTCCATACAAGAGTCTTAACAGTTCTTATTTGCAGAGACATAATAAACAAAGTCTGCGAAAGGAGAATCAAGAGACATAATATATAGAATGTCTAGAACGAAAAAATGTGTGTTCAAAAATCATACTCGTAGAATAATCTTAATTTAAGGCATTACCAAACATTTTTCCCTTGACCAGATACTACATATATAGGTTGTAATAGACTCAGGGCCGTCTCTGATATTTCGGTGGCCCTGTGCGAAATTTATAAAATGGCCCCCTTTTAAGATATATATTTTTTAAAGTATGACAATATATTGGTACTAGAAAATAATAACTTAAATCAAAACAACCTTTAAGACTCACTGATTGTAAGTTTACAAGTGTCATTAAATAAGTAAAAAGAGTTATAAACATAATCTTCACTAAATAATAAAAAACAGTTCAATCTTAAGCAACCAAATAAAGAAAAAAAAACTTCAAAAACTCTAACTTTAGAGTTTCACTTGAATATATAGCATTATTATATAATTAATAAAATTGAAAAGAAAATCATTTTTAATGTGTTGTTATTAACACTCCTAATATCTCATTGTGCATTTCAAATTTTTATATTTAGAAAGAAAAAAAATTATACTTATAAAAGTGCTAATAAAAGCATTTTTTAATATATAACATTATTACATATAAATATAAGATACCAAAAATTTTTAGGGGCCCTTCAAATTTGGAGGTCCTATGCGATTGCACCTTTCACTCCCCTCAGTGCCACCTTTGACTAATAGTAGATGTTAACCAACCTTATGGTTTGAGTGAAGTTTTCGCTTGATCTATCATATATATTTATACTGCCTTAATTGCGCCTGAAGTTTACAATTTTTAGTAATTGATTTTCTCAATTGTGTATGGATATGTGTCTGTTTCTACAAAGGAAGCGGACTTGCATACAAACATTTGAAACTTCAAAATAATAATCCCATATGTAAACCAAAAGAGAAGTTGAGGATCCATAGAATATATTAAACCAATATATGTATCTAGTGTCGCAAGATTGGGTGAAAGATGAAAGCTCTCAAACCAAAGCATTGTTAATGAAAATACATTTCTCAAATCATTCCAACAAGGCCTTCGTTTGATGTCTAAGACATCAGTTTCCGATGAACAAGTACGAAATACACCCAATAATAATCACTCTCATGGAGAATATCATGAGTCTTCAAGCTTCTAGGTACGGATTATATATACCTTCCTCGGCACAAGCATAAAAAATTACTCCTACCCCGGCTGCAATTACAAAACAACGCAACGTCTTTTTTGTGCAAAATTTTGTTTACTCTTCCGTGGCACTATCGAGTATCGAGCTCAGATCAGAAGCCCTACTACCGCTGAACAACAACCGTGAACTGTGTAGCAGTGGCGCGGCAAACTGGGCAATTCGGATGAGAATAGAGCCACATGTCAATGCATGCAGCGTGAAACGAGTGCTTGCACTCCGGCAAGGTACGAAAATATTCACCTTCTTTAAATTTTTCTATGCACACAGGACACGTACCATCTCCTACCAGGCTAACACCCTTTTCATACTTCTGGATTACCGGTGAAGCGGTAGTAGTCCTTGTACCGCTTGCTGCTGTGGTCTTTTGCATTTCATCATCTTCCAATTGTCGTTGTGTCGGTTCTTCATGGGGAATATTCTCGAAGCAGCAACTGCAACACCACCAGATGGCTATGATCACCACAAGCGGAATGATGAGAAAAAGTCCAGGACCATATTCAGACTCTCCGGAGACCATGGTAGAACTTAGAGTCTAAAGAGACTATGAATTTGCTAAAATGGCCATTCATGTTATATAGAATAGGCGGTTAATGCAAGGTTACCATTGTCTTATTCTCATTATTAATTTCACGAGCACAAAATGTAACGTCGAGTCCAAAGCTCTTTGCTTAGAAATGATTCTAATTGATTTCATTTTTTCCTATGCAGAAAATGTTATGAAAGTTGATATGTCTAACCTTTACTCCTGGAGCAGATGCTTTAGTAGTTGCAATAGACAACGTGGACGTATTGACCCTCTAAATTAAGGGAATTTTAATTGATGAATTCCATGTTACATGTGTTGAGAGTATTCGAAAAAATAAGGGACCTTGCATGTAAAAGTAATAAAATTGGGCTACTATACTGCACATTAATTTTATGGCGAACCCTAATTTTCTTCATGATATCAAGGTATGTTGTCCCTCATGTGAATAAAACAAAGAGAGCAAAACATAATAACTAGGTATAGGTTACCAGCATATTCCAGGATGGGCCTAGGCCTCACCTGACCTCTATGTGACTTCGCCACTGCTCGAGTGGGTTTTCAAAATTTATATTTAAAAATGAAAACTAATGAAAAGGACTTGAAAACTTTGAGTTTTAACGATAAAGACAAAATAAAGAGTAAATTACATAGTACCATGATTGATTTTTTAATCTAAAATTGTGGTTTTTCATTAAAGTAAACAGTACCAGGAGTTTTTCGTTTTAAAGTTCCATTTTTAAAATTGACTATGGTTTTCCTTAGTGATTTGCTAGTTTTTCGTGTTATGGGTATCTAATTAAAGCACATGCATGTTGTTTACCAAGAATGAGAATTGGTATAATTTTGGGGTGAGGAAGTTTCGTATTTTGTGAAGCCTTCTTCCGACTCTCCACTTCAGGGGGAGAGGGGGAGTGAAGTGCATATTCGAAGAGATGGTATAAATGATGTGTTACAGGCAGAGTTGGGAACATAACCTATTATGTTGCGTGATACTGATCAATCGGCTACAGATAGTGATCAGTCACCTATCATTCCAGGAACTATTTCTACTGACGACAGATCAGATGTGCTCAGCGAATTGCCTATTAGTATGTCTGACAAATTACCTTTTGATGATCGATTGCCTGCTGATGATATGTCTAACGAGTTGCCTGATGATGGTTCGTCCAATGATGATTCTTCTAACAATTTGGTACAAGATGGTGGCATACATGAGGTAAATTCTGACGATTCTTCTAGTTATCAGTTGCCCCCACGAGCTAATCGTGGAACACCTAAAGTACAATATGAGCTTGATATGCATGCCAAAGCCAAATATCTTATCAACAATTATGTGTCTACTCATCGTTTGTCCAAACCATATGCATCTTACATATGTCAGCTATCTAGTGTATCAATTCCAACAAAATTGCAAGATGCTTTGTCTGACCCTAAGTGGGTTAATGCCATGAAAGTTAAGATGGAAGCTTTGGAAAAGAATTCTGCTTGAGATTTGGTTCCTTTACCAAACGGGAAGAAAGCCGTTGGATGTAGATGAGTGTTTACTATTAAACACAAAACAGATAGTTCTATTGACCAGTATAAAGCCAGATTAGTTGCTAAGGGTTATACTCAAACCTATGGGGTGGACTATCAGGAGACTTTTGCTCCTGTTGCCAAACTTAATATTGTGCGTGTTTTTCTGTCCTTAGCAGCAAACCAGGATTGGCCTCTGTTGCAGTTTAATGTTAAGAATGCTTTCCTTCATGGTGATCTTAAGAAGGAAGTTTATATGGATCTTCCACCTAGTATTGGAACATCTCCTGGAAAAGGTGTTGTATGCAGGTTACGAAAGGCCTTGTATAGTTTGAAACAATCTCCTAGAGCGTGGTTTGAGAGGTTTACAAGTTCAATGAAGAAGTTTGGGTATATCCAGAGTCATTCAGATCATACTTTGTTTCTAAAGAGACAAAATGGTACGCTAACTGCATTGATTATTTATGTTGATGACATGATAGTGACTGGTGATGATCAGAAGGAGATACAATGCCTTCAAAAGTACCTAGCTACTGAATTTGAGATGAAAGAATTAGGTGAATTGAAATATTTTCTTGGAATTGAGGTTGCACGATCCAAGCATGGCATTTTTCTGTCTCAACGGAAGTATGTTCTTGATTTGTTAGCTAAAACAGGTATGTTAGATTGCAAACATGTTGATACTCCGATTTAGCAGAATCATTGTCTGGGCTTATTTCCAGATCAAGTTCCTACTCATAAGGAACGGTATCAGAGGCTTATAGGGAGATTAATTTATTTGTCTCACACTCGTCCTGACATTGCTTATGCAGTTAGTGTGGTAAGTTAGTTTATACACTCACCTAGTGAAGCTCATATGGATGCAGTAACCCGTATTTTGAGGTACTTGAAGATGGCTCATGGCAGAGGCCTGATTTTCTCCAAGAATTATCATTTGAATGTCGAAGGGTATACATATGCAGATTGGGCAGGTTCTATCACTGATCGGCAATCTACATCTGGATAATTTACGTTTGTGGGTGGTAATTTAGTTACTTGGAGAAGTAAGAAACAAAAAGTAGTGGCTAGGTCAAGTGCAGAAACTGAATTTCGTGGTATGTCTCATGGTGTATATGAGTTGTTGTGGTTGACAAAATTGTTAGGAGATATTGGGTTTAAACCCAAAGGTGATACGAAACTTCATTGTGATAACAAGACTACTATTGAGATTGCTCATAATTCAATGCAACATGATCGAACAAAACATGTGGAGATTGGTCAACATTTCATTAAGGAAAAATTGGATGCTAGAATTTTTATGTTTCCGTTTGTGGGATCTGAAAATCAACTTGCTAATGTTCTTATGTCTAATAGTGTGTTTTCCAACTCACTTGACAAGTTGGGCATGCGTGACATCTTTGCACCAACTTGAGGGGGAGTGTTGCGAGTTATATATTAGTTAAAGTGTAAATAGTAGTTTATTGTCCCACATTGGTGAAGTACATATGTAATACCAATTGTAACTCCTATATATACTCCATTTTGGAGTTTAATGCATATGTAAGAAATTCCCAAATATTATCATATATATTTTGGTATTTACCATGTTTAGTTTAATACAAATGCAATACTACTAGCCTTTACATAATTACTACTTAGGAACTATACAACATGTATCGTCTTTCGCTTCTTTGGCCCCGAAGACACATCCTCGTGTAACATCATTTCTGATTTGCAGCACTCTCAATTCGCTTTCAGAACTCAGAAAATCCGTAACTTCTTGCACTCTGCAACATTTTCAGTGGATACGGTGATTGACTTTCAGTGGTTGCTGGCTGCCTTGTGTTCTAAAGAGAGTTGAGGTAGCTCAACAATAGATTTCACCTTCTCCCAACGACCAACAACCGCCGCTAACAGCTATTAATAACAGTGGAGCAGTAGCTGTAGCAAGAAAAAAAATGAAAAATTAATCCGCGGACAACAGTTGCAAATTTCCTTTCACCAATTTTGGCCTATAGAAAAACAGGATTAACATTGAGAAGATCCCAATTGTGGCTGCAACAACTCAATGAGCAAGATTCAAGAATATGGGATTCATTTGTAGGAACTCAAACATGGTAGCAAAGATCCCAACAGTTCTGTAATTTCTAACAATTTTCCTCGGCTGAGAAAAAGAACATTGGTGGACACAAGTTGATGCCATAAATATGTATTGTATTATTTCCATATAACAAAAACCTGAAGAAGTATAATTGTATAATACTCACATAACTTATTTAAGGCATCTTACCTTCAATTGACCGGTGTTATATTGTACTTTGACTAAACCTAACATCTTTGTGTTAGCATAAACACAACACCAGGATCATGCAAAGCAAGTTACTGTAATCAAAACACTAAACCATAAACCATAAAGCAAGGCACAGAGAGAAAACATACTTGCAGAAGAGTTCGAAGCTGCTGCCATGTCTAATTTTTGCAGCAAAGTCGTGGTGCGCCTTCTCATCTCTTCAGTGAACGAGACTCTCAACTAATAATAGGTCTTAGTCTTACATCCTATTATTAGTTGAGAGTCTCGTTCACTAAAAAAGAGGAGAAGGTGCACCACGACTTTGTTGCAGAAATCAGACATGGCAGCAGCTTCGAACTCTTCTGCAGGTATGTTTTCTCTCTGTGCATTGCTTTAAGGTTTATGGTTTTGTGTTTTGATCACGGTAACTTGCTTTGCATGATCCTGGTGTTGTGTTTATGCTAACATGTGGTATCAGAGCCCTTAGGTTTATAAATTATAAGTTCTGTGATTAAAACCAGTAGGTTCCAAAACATAAATAATATTGAGGAAAATATATCTTTGTTGTCACGTTGGGAAATCGAACACAGGTTCTAGTATAATGCCTTGCGAATAACGACAAAACATGTTTGAAAAATATAACCGTTTGAATTTCAAAGGATGTTACGGTTGGATTTTCTGCAAATCCAAGGGAAGGGGTTTTCTTTCCGATTGGGTCTTTTCAATTAAGAACATAACCAATAAAACATGCTTTTGGGTTATAATTTCATCAATCTTGCAACTGATATGATCAATTTGAATGGTTATTCCACTGCGCTATTTCACAAAATTGGATCTGTGCAAGGTATGTTTGATAAATTGCAAGTTTTATTCTTGCCTGCTTAAAAGTCCTTCTCCATATTGAGTTGAGGGTTTATGTTAGGTCTTAAAGGATAAGACTTTGAAATAACAAAAACTATATGGATTCAATCGAATTGAACTATTCTGCAGTAATTTAGACTTTGGGTGTTCGATTATGTGTTATCTACAATTATTTTGTAATATGCAGAATGCTAATGCACCTTTATGTTTTCTGTTAAACCATGAATGATGGTTATCATGCATGAGACATCTCTTCACTGTCTGTTGTTCACACTTTGATCTAGAGTTGCATCAAATGGATGTTAAAATGACTTTCCTCAATGGTGATCTTCAAGAAGACATTTAC